GGACACCAACCTGTGCGCCATCCACGCCAAGCGTGTCACCATCATGCCCAAAGACATCCAGCTGGCACGTCGTATCCGCGGGGAGCGCGCCTAAAATGTTTTCTGATTTACTACACTCTGTCCTCTCGTTCCTTCACCACTCGTTTCTCCCTTTCCTTCCTCTATACTTAGTTAGTAGTTTGGTTTGAGGTTCTATATATATCATATGATTGTGATAACCGTAAATGTGTGATCATGTCTTCTTTGGTGCTACCAGTAGCAGATATTTTCCTTAGAGGTATCTTCATGTATGTTTCAGACTTTGAATCACAGCTACACTCATCAGTTCTAATTAGTCAGCGCACAGGAATGCCTTGTTACCTCCATGAATAAGGTGTTTTTTTGCAAGCCAAGAATAGTGTATGATCTAAAATGGGCATAGGAATTAGCATTAAGGTCGAGACATCTTCAGGCGGACACATACATTGATATAATGGGTCTTCTGATTTTTTCTTTTTCCTTTTTTTTAAAATAGAAATTTGTTGTAAAAGTAGTGATTTTCTTTTTTTTTTTTTTTTACAATAATGGTGTATTTCTACTGTCACTGTTTAATGTATCAAAACACAAAAAGATTGATTCTGGTGGTCAATTAGAAACGTCATTGTGCGATGATGACACTGCATGGTTTGACAGACTACAAGCGGCATATATGTAGCAGACCTACGTTGATCATATTTTTGATTTTTCAACCACGTTATTATGTCCAGGTAATGTTTTTGACTTTTTGTTCCTCTCTCAGGTTGATATGATAACCTAATTTTTTTTCTACTGTGTTTTTGATTTATGTTCTCAGTCATTTTTAAGAGCAAAATATTTGTACTCCAGAATTCACATACAAACATAATAAACAGATTCTTGTGGTTAAATGAGCCGCGTGAGTGAATATCTATAAGAAAAAATTAGCCGTTTAGCTGTTGGACGGAACATTTAAATTCAACTGCTTTGATCTGCTGGTCACTTCAAAACAAGTGATGTGAAGCAACCTTTGATTTCAGGAAGTTGTGATGCAAATTTACGCTGATTTTTCACAAATTTAAAACCCAACAACTACAATACAAACCAAATGGTAGATTAAATAAAATGCTGATGCTGAAATAATAGTTTGAGATCACATTTACACCGTTAATGACTCCTGATGTTTGCCGTCTGATAGCGGATGTGTGTGCAGCTCTTACTTCCAGACGATGAACTCACATAACCTGCAAATTTTGCTTCGAGCTCATCTCCTTGTTTTTTTTATCAGACTGGATATGTGAAGATTTATATAAGTAAAATGTCTCAGATATTCTTTTGGTAACTATAAGAATGTGTAGAACATTTTAGTTATCGTGGAATACATTCATGAAATCACTACAGACGTTAAACTCGTTGTGTCTTTGTTGTAATTCTCCACAGGTGCAGCTGGTAGCTACAACAGCATGTACACATTACATGCAAATAGTGATTCATCTATTGACTATTTTACCAATAAATCAGTTAGTTGTTTGACAGATAAAATGTCAGAAAGTGAGTACATACATCAATACGTACGACTTGTTTTTTTTTTCCGCACAGACCAAATATGTTCAGTTTACTGTAATAAAGGAGGAAAGAAACTGGAGAATAATCACATTTAGGAAGCTGGAATCAGGAAATGTATGAGTTTTTTTTTTCTGAAGATAAAACAAAACTTAAACTTACTGTCAAAATAGTTGACAATTAAATTAGTAGTGGACAACTAACTGATTAATCAACTCATTGTTGCAGCTCTAATTACATGGGGACGTTGTGCTAGACACTTAGAAAAACACTTTACTATGAAAAATGTGTAATGATTTCATTTAAATGTGAATTCTCTGTTAAAATGTTTTTGAACACATTCATTATGATCATATCTTTCACATTTCACTCATTCTGAGCTTTTTTCTTGCCCCATTAGGCAGAAACGGGCTGTTTTGTGTGATGTTTGTGGTGTTGTTGAGAGACAGGTGCCAACGTCGCTGACTGTGGGGAGATAAGAGGTCTGGGACGGTTGTGTTTGTTCCTTTTATCGAGATAAGCAGCGAGCTCATCAGACAGCACTGTGGGACTTTAGTGGAAGGTTTAAATCAGGTTAGGTTTTATTTGTAATGAAAAATATTTAACCTGGAAAACGCTGCTTTTTCCATTTTTAGAATAGCACTGTAATAGAGAGAGGTCTTCTATACAGTGTGCATAATGTGGAGAGTGATTCTGAGATTAAATTCAGACAACACCGACCAT